CCTCCTGGCAAAGGCAACGGGATGCACGGGCATGCAGGAGCAGTGGCAGCTGAGGAAGTCCCGCGCCTCTGATGCTATATAATACAATTCACATTAATTCAATATCCTTTTTTTGGCTTTCCACAGAAAATACAACAACAGGCTGCCTGATTTCACATCAAGTCTCTGTGCTTCAGGAGCTGGCAAAGCAACCCATGTGTTTAACCTCATATTAAACGAGCAAAGGAGAAGGGAAACACCATGCAGGGAGCAGGGTGAAAAGTGTCTATCCACATCACAGATCCTGAGGCAAGCCCACATGCCCTCCTCCTCCACTCCGCTGCCCTACAGCCAACCCAGTAGCATCGACCCCAGGCCAGCCCACCTCCTGCCTGGCCTTCCCCACAGCCCCTCTCCCACATGAGAAAAAGTGTCTGGTTCTTACCCCAAACTCTTTGCCACAGCACCCTTGGGCCAGGTTACGCAGCAGTGTGTGATTACACAGCACACACACATTCACCACACTGGTTTTCTCCCATTGCTACAGTATTTCTGACTTACCAAGACGACACCCCTCTGCCATCAACCTTTGTGAACCCCCCTATCTCGGCTCTGTTCGATACATGGTATTTTACATTCTTTCCACCAGAAAGCCACCCCCAACACAAACCCGACCCGATGCACACATAACACTCAAACCCTCGCGAGGTCAAGCCATTCCTACAAACACCACTGTGCCCAACGGTTGCACAACGTGAGGATCTAAGAGAGTCCCACATCCAAGGTGATGTAAATGACCAATAGTGTCATCTTTGGTTTGATTTTCCCCAAAACCACTCCCCTCATGTAACAGCCCGAGGACACAATTATCATCGAGAACAGTCGGTGAGCTGTCAATCTATTAGCAGTGCAGTAACACAGCAGCGCCCACAACATCCCCCACAACGGGATCCCCCTGAGGTACCCCTCCACCCCGGCTCATCCTTTATAACATACCAACAACATTTTTAACATATGCAGTCTTACTTCCCACTTGCATTCACCGCTGTGTTGGTTCCATGCAGGCTTTAATTCCTAGAAATTCAGGTACATTTGGACAGCACAAATTAGGAAGCTAATTAGTGATGTTTTTACCTGCTGGGAAGAGGCAATCAAACAGCTCAGGCTGCAAATACCAAACCCCTGCACAGTCAGCCGGCAGGCTGCCACCACGCAGGGACATAGGACCTTTCAAGTCACCTCGAGCTTACAGTGCTGAATGCTCACATTAAGATTTGGGGTAATCACTTCTGGACCCATCTGTTGGTGGAACCTGCTGACCTTTCCCAAATCTGTCCCTTAATCCAAGTGTGCCCTGATTTCTGTTAATTATTTTAAGGGAAGGAACATACAACCCAGCCCACAGAGGCCAGGGCAGGATGGGTGTGCTCAAACCCAGCAGGCAAGCAGCAGCCCGGCTGTAGGCAGAGCACCGGCAGCAATAACAAAAGGTGTTTGCAGAAGGAAACCCAGATCTCTGGATAGCTCCCCTGCCTGCACAAGTGACTCAGCCTTTTCAAGGCACTTAACTCGGGCAGTGAACTGCCTCTGATCTTATAAATGCATTACTGCCAGCTTCGCCACAAGGATCTAGGAAACATGCTTCAAATCCTGCCACGCCAACCCTCGGACACGCACAGGGGCTGTGCAGAGGAGAGGGACCCCAGGTTATGCACGAGAGGTGCCATGGGCACATTCACCAAGGGGAAAGGAAGTGCCCGAGTTTTACTGTCCCTAGGTCTTTTCATCAGGACACGAACATGCTGTTGGTTTCGCCTTGAATATTTTGCTCACAGAAGGCAGTGCAGAGGTGCCCCTCGGGCTCTGCCGTGCAAAGGCATCATTTGAGTTGCCATTATTATGCTGATGACACGCTGATTTGTGCCCAGATCCCAGATGACCCTGGAAAAGCAATTTCCTGTTTGATGAGGTGCCGGAGTGACACCGAGCCTGGGATGTCTGAGACTCTCCTGAAGCTCTGATTAACATTTCACTCCTGGCTGTTCGTCTCCGCAGCTGTATCGCACAGCCAGACGTTTGGATGTGCAGCCTTGGGCTCTCCTGGGATCCAGAACCTTCTGCAGCTACCATTTGGCTTGAACCAGACACACATAAGATGTTTTGGGTTTTTTTTCTCTCTCCTGTCATCTCTGAAACACAAAGAGGCTATCTCCAGGGAAGAGGAGTTTTTAATTAATGCCACTGGCATGCCTTGTTTGGATCAGGGTAATTCCCTCCTCGCAGCCCCCCCAGACTGCTTGCCATGCATTGCTACACCACCAGCAAAATCCTGCAGCTGAAACCCTCCCCGGTTCCCAACGGGAACCAGAGCACATTACATCAGCACAGACATCTATGCAACGCTCCTAATGAAGTTTCAGATTGATTTTCCTCCTCAAGGTTATCTGTGATGGTACCTCCAGGCACATTAGGAAACTGATGGTTTAGAACAGTTTGCTCTAACAGGCTTTCCACACAGCAATCCCTTTCAGGAAGGCTGAGCTATTAAGGACCAGAACCTGAAAAAAAATATACACTTACCAATGGATAAGAACAGCATTACCTACGTAACAGATGCCGAGTACATGTATGGTGAAGAGTCACAAAATCCCTTCTAAAGTCTACCTGGCTTTGCGTCAGTTTGCATGGCCATGAGAAAGCCTCTCCCATGCAAAGACCTTCAGGAAGATTTCCTAAGGAGAGAAAATCCTGCTCACAGCCCCCACCACCTCCTCCTCCTCCTCTGGGTTCCTCCTCAGCAAAACAAACCCCAGAGTATCCCCGTCCTCCACAGTACAGGCACGGAGCGAACACCACAGAGGGGAAGGGGCGAGGTGACCCGAGATGGCAGCTGGAAGCAGAGGAGACAGATAAGGATAAAGAAGAGAAAATGATCAAGAAGTAAATTTCTCAGTGTTGGAGCTTTACAGACCAGAAAAGGAAAGGAAAAAAAACCACAACTGAAATGGATCTTGGGAAAAAAATAAAGATATAGGGTAAAAGATGGCAGAATGCCAGAAGCCAAAACACAACAAAAAAAATCACAGGTTAAGAGCAAAAAATGTTGTCAGAGGACAAAGCCACATGGGGAAGGACTGTGAGAACCCAGAAGCCTGCTGCACTGCTGAGCCTTCCCTCGGAAGGCGGCGGGATGGACAAATGCCCATCACGGCATCCGTCACCATGTCCTCAGCTCCAGTGACCTGCGGGTGGTGGCATCCTGCCTCCAGCCAGGCTGTGCCCAGGGCGTCCCTCCTGCAGACACAGGCAAACTGCCAGCTTGACCCCCAGTAACCCAGCCACATTCATCATCCCTGTGTATCACTCCTTTAATTAAGCAGCTGCTAAGCTTTTGGACAGTTAAAAAAAAAGAACAAAAAAGGAAAAAAACCCTGACAACATCCACTTCCATATTTACTTTCCCATGACTGTGTCACAGACACAGACCCCGTCCCACACCGATGCTCACAGCCTTCAGTCAGCCATTGTGTCGGCTCTCTCTGAGCCAAGCCTCTGCCTGGTCACTTTTACATCTGTCCAGTGCTTCATGCCTGTACAAGAGATGGCTGCTGGGAGTATTTTCAATAATACACTGTGCTACCAAACGCAAAGCACGATACCTGTTCCCCAGGGACGGCTCCTTCTCAGGGCTGCAACGGACAAGCCAAGGAACAAAGGTGCCAAGGACAAACGTGGTACAGGCGTAACTGGAGGCCCCCAACGCCATAACCACCTGGCTGCACAGCAGAACCCAACGTAGCACCCCCCGAAAGAAATGCCCCGAATGGCTCATTAAATGAATTTCCAATTCCTTTCTCTCTTTTCCTTCCCAACCAAGGCACAGTAAGAACAGAGCAGTACTTGTTGCAGGCTTATCCCCGAGACGGCAATCAGAAATTGCAGAGAGCTGCCATAGGAAGGCTACTCCATTTGTGAAGCATGTACCATTTTGAACGTACAAAGCTGACAGCTCCTTAAATGACTTGTCAGTCTAGTGCACTCACAGTACAAAGTTAAAAAAGCAAGTCCAATACACAGCCCCTCTACTATAAAAATGGCTTAATTTGAGAGGAGAAGGAATTTTTCTGCTATTTTCCCAGTACAACCAGAATTTTTTTTTTCTTTCGCAGAACGATCTCCAAGCTCTCATTACTGCTGGTCTAAAACATTTACTCCTGCCCACTCAAATCTGCCGAAAGAGAAATGAATCATATGTCAATAAAACTTGAGGTCCTGAACATGTGTTTCAAAATTAATCTCAACGGCGAAATGTGTGAATCTGAGCCCAGCGACAGCAAGGCCTGCCAGCTTCATTCATGGTAATTAAGCAAAGCCACACACATTTAAGGGGATATTTAAGGAGCGCAGAGTGTTCCTATGGGGACTGGACTCAAGAGCTACTCCACGAGCAGCTACTGCACTTTAGAAACACATTAACCACTCCACAAGAAAAAGCCTCCTGGAACCACCAGGGATCCAGAAGCTGGCAGTACCTGCACGGGCATTCTCTCCAAGGAGCAAGTCCTGCTCAGCTGCTGGCTCTGGCGATGGACCGGACAGCAGCTCCCCCCTGCCTCTGCTTTGGACTCAATCCCATCAAGTGCTCAGCACACGATCCAAGCTAAAAGAGCACTTCTGCACAGATACTGCCCTTTGCCTCAACCTTAGCATCAAGTGTTGCATTGTGCTGATTCCTCAAGGCTAGAGGCAGCACGCCGCTCGCCTGTATCCGGGTTCTCTGATGACCTGTTCTGCACATCACCAGTTACACCCCAGGTCAGTTTTCAGGCTGCCAGCTAACAAGCAATGCCGCGAAGTGTTAACAAAGATATTTTGCTACTAATGACCATGGGCCTTCCCCCATTGAGAAGCCGTACATCACATCTCCCAGCCCTAAGGAGCTCACTCTGGTCCAGCCCAGCGGAGCTGATGGAGCCATCGGCTGCAGAAGCTACGCCATGGCTCAGCCTGGAAGAAGCCCCCCTGTCCCTGTTGGCACCGCACACACCCAGAGACTGCTGCCATCCCCCACCTTTTTTACCAGGGCTCACTCTTGCCGAGCCCCGTACCGCAGCAGCGTCCCAGCTCTGGGCTTGATGGGGCTCAGCACGAGGGTGGGACAAGGACTCAGCACCTGCCTGTATCAGCCCCCTGCATGGCAACGGCTTCCAGGCAGATACAGCAAGTGCAAAACAGATGTCCACCTCAGCTGACACCATTCAGGCCACTGTCCCTGCTCCTCCACAAACCTCGCCCCATCCCACCTCCCAGCAGCACGAAGAGAAAACCTTCTCCACAGCTCCTACCATCTGGATTCCCTTTCCTCCTTCTCTCCAGCTCATCATGTTTCTGTGCATAAATGCCAGTAAAAAAAAAATTAAAAAATAAATCACTTATTTTGTGCCTTTCATCTTTACATATCACATCCACTACCATCTATTTTTCTCTCCCTCCTGTTACTGGTTTACCAAGCACCTGCTTCAGTGTTTTCTCCAATGCGATCTCTATCGCTGGGGGTGCTGCTGCCAGCTGCCGCCCAGCGTCAGAGCCCCAGGGCAGCCAAACCAGCCGGGAACATTTTCATCGACTAATGATCAGAACTGCACCATGGCAGCTTTGCATCATCGCTCTCCAGAATCCGAGGACACCTTCTGCAAAATGAAATGCTATTGCACGTAGATTTTTTTTTTTGTCCCCATCCATCACAATCTCACAACACAAAGTGCACTTCAGCAGACTCGGGTTCAATCCAACAGGAAGCTAATAAAGGCTGTCTGTCCCTCAACTAATCAAGCAAAAAAGTGAGACGTATAAAAAAAATTGTCAACATGTCAGACCTATTATTCCACAGGCAGAATCTTCCGACTAGCAATCAAAAAAAAAGCCTCAAAAATTTCTAGGACTTATTTTAACCCCTTCATCAATGCATCTACCTTTAATCACTACTAAGAGAAAACGCACCTATTCAATGAACTTTAAAAACCTTATCACTCAGAAAACAAGGGAAGATGTGATACCAAACATCTTCCCTGGATGTCCCAGTACAAGTACCGTTCTCTTTGCAGCTGCAGTCTGTCAGCTAAGGCCAAAAGCACAGGGAAATATGAAAAGACCAAAACAAGGCACTTCACTGATCAAGGTGCAAAGGACTTTTTGCTTAAATTAAGTTTTGCCTTTATCTGGTTGCTATCATACGGAAAAGGGCTTGTAAGGTTACACCTGCCCACTCAAAGGGAGTTTTTTCTTTTTCTCCTTTCTTTTATAAATATGAGAAACTACAATTTCTGTATGAATATTTTATCTGGAATCCTGGTGAAGCAGACAGCACTGCTGAAAACAGCAGCAGCTTTCAACAAAACTTTGGAGAGGGAGGGAGGGAGAGCTGGCTCCAAACTTGGCACACAAAGGCAGAGATGATCTTGTCTAATCAAGGTCTGTATTAGCTGTGTAATGAATCCATCCTACTAATAAGAGATACATCATACCGAGAAGTATTTATCATGCAAAACCAGAGGGGAGGGGCAGGGAATGTAAGGGTGCATGGTGTGAATGACGGGAGGCTAACGGGATGTACAGAGAAGAGCTCTGTCCTCAGAGACACAATGCAGAGCCCCTGATGAACCAGGAATACCAAGGAGAAAAGAATCGTAAATAAACATTTTGGGAAAAAGGCTCAGGCAGAGAGGGAAGCCCAGGAACATCTATCCTTGTTCAGTTTCCTCATGAGCCACGTCCTAACACAGCTGTCCCCTCAGCCCCCCACGGCCACTTCACCGAGCAGAGCAGATCCCACTGACATGGGGACACATCCTCCACAAAGCCACGCTCAGGGACCCCATGATTTTCACTTGTGCACAACTTTCAAACTTTCCCTTTTGCATGAACAATGTTCAGGCTAAACCCATAACACTCTGACTTCTATTACAGCAAATCCAGTCGCCTCCCTTGCAATTATCAGAGGTCTCGAAGGTCTGCAGAAGGTCTGAGCAAGAGGTAGAAGTGCTCTCAGCCCCCTGCACACAGAGAGGGGACAAAGCAGAGCCAGAGACCCGGACAACCTCACATATAAACAATGCTCGGTGGATTTTACTTACACGAGTGTTTGATCACAAGTTTCCCCTCCAAATCAGACTCTCGCTCACGCTGTAAATCAGCGGTGGGGTCAGTGATTTACTGCTCATCTTGTCCAATACTTCTGGCTACGCCACCCTTTGTGTACACACAAAATCAAAGAAACCATGAACCACCCAAGTTCACACAGGATTTTGATTCAGCAAAGGCTCTAAAACTTAGAAACTGGAATCCCAGAGCTGGTGAGGAACTGGGAGAAGCAATTGTGTTATACCAGCCTTGAGTGGCACTCCTGTCCTTAGCACAATTGTTTGAGTTACGCTCATGGCAAGCTCTTAGCTTGGCTTCTTACAGGGCCCTACACCTCTAGCTATGTGGGTGACATGGCTACTAGCAACTTTGGTAGCTAATGGCTGTTCCTGGTTGTGAAGTTCAGATTTTCCCACTGAACAGCTTTTTTCCTGGCTGGACATAAGGTGGCACTGACCTGGACCCTATCCTGAGAACAGACATGGAAGCACACAGACCCTCTGCACCTTCTCCTCCCATCCCATCGGATGGTTGAATCTAGTCCAAGACACCTGCTCAAACTTGCATGCAATGTGCTGCTGATGTCTGACAAAATCTATGAAAAATTTATTTCCTTCAGGGACATGATGAAAATAAATCTACCGCTACCTTGCAATTTTTTGCTCATGCATCATACCATAAGTCTGTAGAGATTTTGTCTTCTATACACTTTCCTAAATCAAATCATTGCTGAACTGGCAGCAGTGGTTCCCCTTGTGTCCCTGAAGCACCGTCATGTTAACAACCACGGGAGCCACCCAAATGGGACACTGTCACTGCAGTGTCTGGGAATGGATGCAGGTCACTGCAGTGACAAGACAGATCTTCCAAAAGGCGCAGACTTCCAAAGCAGTCTTGATTTGTTCTCATTAGAGTTGACACAGGATCCTTTGTCATGCCACCTCCTTTGAATATGAAAGAGGATGGTTCCTCTACCTCACTGTATTAGTTATAGGACCAGTTACAGGCCCCACATTATTTCAGTCCAGCATGTATTAGTAAGATGACAATGACTAATTAGAAGCTGCATTACTTGCCAACACGCAAAGGAACCACACACAAAAAAAAAAAACCAAAAAAAAATCACAGAAAAATTGTGGCAATAATCCGATAAATTCTGTTACCTGAGAACTAGGCACAAGGGCTTTCCACCAGTGTCCGCCTTTCACAAGGTCTACATCGCTCAAGGGCATTGACACTTTGCCAATAACACAGTGGCGTGAGAATTTGTCAAAATCCACTACGGTTAAAAGCAGAGTTCTTCTCTGGGCTTCTAAAAAGGGGATTTCAAATGTGTACCTCTCTTCAAACACCGGGTTCTGTGTTTTGCGTTTCACTCCGGTCTGCTTGGAGTTCTTCTGATCAGGAAGAAGGCAGATCTTCACGTAGGGGTTGGAGTGAGCCATGTCTTGCCTTGAACCGTCGTAAGAAATTGGAGGAGGCAGATCTTTAGCCTCGATGACTCGTACTATTAGATAATTATGCAACAGGTCGTACTGAGTGCTAAAATGCAGCATGCCCAGCTGATACCTCGATAAGATCTCCTCGTCCGTCAGGGAGTCCATATCATCGCTATTCGAGTCAAGGGAGTACAGTCTTGGTTCAAATTTTCTAAAATAGTCATCTGGGGTATAGGTTTTTCGCAGGATAGTTGGTTGAACTATTTCTTTCTTAGCTCCTATTATTCCAAACTCGATAGGTTTAATGTCGATTAACGGAGAACTTGGCCTCCTCGACTCTAAACCTAAAGGAGAGAAACGCACAAATACAACTGTCAGAAACTCAACCGAAGCCATGACAGGTGCAAGTCAACTTGCGCTTCTCTGGGTAAAGCTACTCAGTGTCTGCGCAACGCCCAGCACAGCATGCTCCCCAGTGGGACTTTTCACCATTACATCGCCAACAATCAATAGCACCCTTAGTTACGCTGAAGTGCAAGCTCAGCTTCTCCCTCCTGCCCATTTTCACATGCAATTACCATGCAGATGCCTCAGCAAGAATAACAGCGCTGCCCCCTTCCACTGTGTTCCTGCAGAACAGGATGAGATTTTAATCAATGTACCTTCAACTTGACTTGATTCCCTGTCTAAAAGATGAAAGAGCAAGCACTACAGTTTGATTTTCTTTCCCACAAGAATTACATTAATGTTGGAAGGACGACCTTACTTGAAATCCGCCTCGTGAGGCTGTAAGTGGACCGTGATGCATCTGAAGACGACCGCCTTCTGTCAGGGGAAACATCCTGAAGAGTGGGAGGCAGCTCGCTGATTGTATTATCAGAGTCCCCATCTTTGTCCTCATTTTGGCTGCTTATCCTGTTACAATGAGAGACCTTTGGGTGATTCAGCCCACTAAAAGGAGTATATACAGAATAAAAATGCCCTCTGATATCCTGGGTCTGATCTCGGGTGCACACCCCTGGATGCTGCAGGATATCTCCTGATCTATTTGGCAAGCAAAGGGCCGCGCAACTGACTTCAGACCTATGTAAAGAACAGATTCTTTATCTTTCTGCCTGTCTTTCAAACAGAGATATATCAGTGTTAGAGTACAACACAGGCCACATGGGCATGTGTGACTCACATCTTGATCAGGAGTATTATATTTGTCTTTAAGAAAAAAGAAAGGGAATAAAATACCCACAAACCACAAAACCCAAGCAGTAGCTTATTGCTGTAAATTCACAGCTACACTTTGGAAGCACGGCCTTTGCTGGGAATGAACCAGCACGGGAAACCACCACGCTCACTCATCCCTAGCCTACCACACACCTTCCAGCGAAGCATTGCTTTGCAGGTACACCACTGAGGTTTCAAAACTCAATCTTATAAATACAACTAATTAACAGCTATTTATTGACATGCCTTTCTAAATAATTGGCTGCTTTTTATCCACTTCTATAAATCAGAGGTGATTCTCACAAGATAGTAATTCTACTGCCCAGGGGTCCCGGTGGGAGCAGGGAAGTCTGCAGGATCTAAATAACAAAGTGAGTTGCAGTGAGAGCTGGGGGATCTTCGAGAAGACTCAACAGAAGACTAGCACCATAAAGAAGTCCACGTGTAATTCCCATTTCAGTTTGTTTGTGTACACATATATACAAACACACGCACTCACACATGCTGTTTTCATATAAAAGAACACTCTGGTTAAAACCATCAATGTGGCTCACAAAAAAACTCAGGACCTCCCAGCCTTGACTGGAAGAAGAGCAAGAGCAGAGAGTAACCACCACAGGAGAGAAAGTCTCCAACTGCCTGTTCAGAGGGGAGCGGCTGCAATGGGAAGGAAAGCATACAATGGTACGTGAGGCGAAGTGCATCATGCAAAATAAGCCTTTTGGTTAATCCATGAGACAGTACACCAAAAAACAGCAGCAGATCACAAGGAAAGCGTCAGTGTGAAATGAGCAAAGCAAAGGGGAACAAACACTCAGTTTTGCTCCTGATTCACCCTTTGTATGATCATGGCTTGGATGGGTATAAACAAAATCTCTTGAATCATTTGCTTTAGTAACCAGTGACTGGAGTAGAGCAACAAATATATTCTGCAAAAAGCAGTCAACTCGCAGAAAAGGCTCCCCAAATAGAAAAGAGATTTAAACAGGAAATCCTTCTCCAAACCCACAAAGTTCACAGCAAGACGCATGCAAATCTCACCAACCCCCTCACACCACTCATCCACATAAAAAAAAAAAAAAAAATCTGCCAATAATCAGAACCAAACCCTATGCTAAAAGGGGCATATGATATTTGCACAACTCTGCAGCCCATTAAAGGTTGTGCAAATCATGCAGTTTGACATATCATCTGTACTTGGAACACAAATAGCTTTTTCATGCCTAAATGCAGGTCTGCAAAGTCATAGGTAGCATTCAGACATACTTGTGTTTGAGAAGCAAATCCACAGAACAAGGAGAAGGCAGGGTGAAAAGGGAGTCAGGAAGAGAGGCACTAAGGATGTTCTACAAGGGGTAAACGTAACAGTGAGCTAATGACATACAGATGACCTTTAGTAAGGAAATTGCTACTGAGCCACAACAATTTCTCCTCAAACAAACTTTGGCTCTGGTAAAGCAGCTCTGTTGCTGTTTAATCCGAACCTTTGGGAAGAGGAGTCGTGTCCTGGCTCGGTTCAGTCTCACAGAGTATGCACCGTTTATCTTTGGGGTTTACGTAGAATATTTCATAACAGGCAGCTTCAACATACACCCTCGTTCCCAGCCCACTTCTGCAAAGACCAGGATGCAAGTGCTCCTCGTGAAATAACAAGAAGCCACCATACATTCAGGTCAATACCAACAGACTCCAGTAAGAATTTTTTTTCCTAAATTGCCACTGCAAAAAATTCAGAAAGCAAGAAAAATCAACAGTCTCCCAAGAGGAAGGGCTTAAGCTTGCGGCTTTAATGTCCCCTCCTGAATTTCCAGGACAACGAGGTGTCTCAGAGCTGCCAAAGGGGAAACCTATGGGAAAAAATAAAGGATGGATTGTTAAGCACGGGCATTCAGACGTTTGCTAATTGGCAAATGAAGACCATAAAAGCAGCCTTCCCCTGGGGACTGGGTGGGGAGGTAAGGAAGGAGCAAACTACATTCTGCATTACACCAGTGTCCTGGGCCCATGAAGAAGAGGCAATATGCAAAGATCTCAGCTGAAAACCTAGATCTATTTTTAAAACACCTTCAGACTGTGAGCAGGCAATACAATAAATTGATTTGTTCCCAAATTCAATGCATGCATCTAAATGCAGAAAATGGTGGTGTCAAATCCGTTTTCCATTTTAGGAGTTTCCACTGAATCCAGGAGTCCCCTTTTCAAAAATAAAAAATAAAAAAAAAAAACAACAAAAGGCAAGGGGTCACACACAGGTCTTGGAGCACTTAAAAACATACCCATTACACACCTTGTTCTGAGACCAATTCCAAACCCTTCCTCTGCTCACACATCTAACTCCAGACATTGTTTCCCACCTCCAAAAATGCACAAGGAGATTGAGAGTATGACATCAGCATAGTGAAAGGAGAAATCTTCTCTGGGTTCTGAATTCTGAGACACTCCTCTCACGGGTCCTCCTCTTGGGTCCCTGCTGCCCCTCTCAGGCACTCCCCTGGGAACCCGCCTTCTCAGCACTGGAGCAGAACAGGGAGACCCCAACTGCACCAGGTCACCTGGAGCTGGAAGGAAAGATGGATATGTGACCGAGGCTGGGGTCCCAGGGACCCTACCCAGGGCTGCTAGGACGAGCAGGTGCAGCGTGAAGCGCAGCATGGCTGAAGAACTGGGCTTTTTTCAGTGTGCGTTGTCTTCTGTTTACGGCCATTCCAGCAAGTTAATCGTACAGGCTTTCAGATGGAGCAGGACTGAATACAGGCCACAGAGTGTTTTACGAGTCCAAAGGTCTCCATGTTCTCTGCCTGTGGTGAAGTTCAGCTCATCTGCAAAGTCACCACTCAGTGCTTACAGTGCCCCTTCAGCCAGACAGAAGGACCCAGCAGTCAAAACCCACATCATGCACCTCCCACCCGGCACCCCCAAACACACACAATGTCCCTTCTGCTCCTCAGCACGAGAGAAACTCTGAAGCACTCTCTCCCAACAAGCCTAGCTACTTGTTCCCAAGCATGTAATTGTCCCTGCAGCAATCTTTCTACTGTAGCCTCATCACTGTGCTCTCCTGTGCACAACGCTTTCCTATTTAGCATTGATTTTGTTTCCATTTCCCATTAATTGCAGGTGAATCCATTTCTGGGCATGTATCAGGCTCTTAAATATGCTGCTCTGCATTTAAAAATCACTCTAACACAGCTTGAACATCTCTATTTTTATTGCTTCAGTATTAATTACCATCCTATTCTACCTGGATTCAAAAGAGTATACGGACAAGACTGTGATTCAAACACGCGTGAATGTGTTTCATGCAGCACCAAGACATGGACCTTCCAGACCCGACACAGAATAACAGTAGATAAGATCAACTGCATGTCCCAGTGCCTAGGTACCAAACTCTGAGCACCTCATGATGCACTAAATGGGCATCTCCTGTGCCACAGCCTCTGGGCACACTGCAGCTGTGTCCCCCAAATGCTCTGCTCTCGCAGAAGACAGCCCAGCCCAGCCCAGCGCGGCCACTGGAAGCCAGGAGACCTCTGCTCCCTTCTGGGTTTCAACAGTGCCTCCACAGGGTCACCTCTGTGCTGCAGATGCCCAAACGAGAGGGAGTAAAACAGGGAAGGCTTCACTGACGTTCTTCATAACAGATTCGCAAACATGCTAATCAAAGCCCCAGATACAACCTGGTGCTGTTCCTTCATGATTCAAGAGTAAAATCTTAAAGAGTACTAAGATGATGCAGGAGATCAAGTCTTGCTCAACGAAACTTTAAATTAATTTCCCCTTTAGAGCATGTCTGAGGTACACCTTTCATCTGCCTATACGATAACCACCTTCACACTAGGATGAGAAAAATTTCAAAACAACCTCATCAGCATTTCAGTAAGTTGAAGTGCTCCAAAGGGCTGGTCCATTTGAAGAGGAAACAGGACTGAAGATGAAATGCATCTTTAGGAGAGGGTGCAAAGCCAAACCAGTTGTCAGCTTCCTATACCAGTTTACAAAATAACTTCTGTCTTATCCATCAAAAAAGTGTTTACAAATACTAACCTTACCCTTTGAGCTAACAGGGCTGCCCTTTTTCACCTCACCATTGAGCAGCCTACGTTCCCACCCTCAGCAGGAGGTTCCTCCTTTCTACGTGGCATCCTCCGAACGTCCCATTGCCATTTCCTATCAGCACTCACCACAGCCGAGCAGCCCTGCTCCTGAGTTAAAGCTAGGAAACCGTGCATCTAAACTTACAGCCAGGCTGGAGTCTGAGCAGGAAAAGGTCCCAGGATTTCAACTTCATCTTCATTTGTTTGACAACAGCTACAGTCGAAACACTTCTGACAACAATTTCTACAAGTCCACCGGCACAGCAAGAGATCCGAGATTCTAGCGAGCAGACCCTGAAGCCATTGAAAACCAAAGTACAAGATTACAACCCATCAATAGCTATTGAGAAAGAACATTCAGCTGTATTTATGTTTGTGTTTCTGCAACAGAACATTAAGAACTGTATTTATTCCATCTATATCAACAGACAAGTGCTATGCAGTTACCAGCCCAACTTCACTGATGCCATAACAAGGCAGGAAATAAGCATTCACTGCAGGTATTTTTCCCCTAGTAGCGATGTATTATTATGTAGGTTGGCAAGAGGGTGATTTACAAAACACTATGGCGTAGCAATATGCTGGAGTGGAAACTTGTTTATCACACATCAACAAACTAATAGATCAGCAAATGTACAGCAGAAGGAATTAAAAACAGAAGGTAAGTGAAAACTCTGATTTAATCCAGCAAGGGTCTATTTAATTGGAAAATCTTAACACAGCAATGTGAACACATTTTGTCCCTGAGATGTATCAGCACGTCATATTTGTATGATCCATACACATGCAGCATGACAACCCCATAAACTTGCCACTAAAGTGATTAGCAAAAGCACGCTATCCACACGCCTCCCCTCTCCTATGATGATTAATTTAATGAAGAACCTTCAACTATTTTTTTTTTAAAGAAGTTACTTGACCCAGAAAAGTATTTAATTTCTTAGGTTTCCATGGTGGCACTGGCAGCATCACCTCCAGCAGCACTCCTCTGTGACGACACGGGGTGTGAGCCCCCATCAGAGGGGCAGCAGGCTGCAGCCCTCCTTCCATGCCATCCCTACAGCCTTTCCTTCACTCCAAAGCTCTGCTTGCTTCAGGAGCAGAAAGCCAAAACTTCACCCATTTCCCACCCACCCCAGCTCCAACTTGTGCGGTTCGTTAGAAGGCTCATTAGGCAGCAGAAGGGCACTGCTAGTAAAGGGCATCACTCCATAGCCACAGGAGGGGACACGCTGCTGCAAGAGTGCAGCACGGACACATCCAGGGTCCAGTCACTTTACCATTGCAGGTGACCTTGAAATGTCCCTAAGAAGCTGAGGAAATAAAGCATGTGAGAAGTTCTTCATGGATATCCCCTCAAAATACTTGGGAGCTCTGCAGCATTCACGAGTGTGCAGATACCAGGGCACTGTCCCACCACGCAAATGGGTTTCCTCTGAGGAACGCAGAAAAGCCTCCACAGGAATATTTCTTTTTGCTCCAGTAAAACACACAGTTTTTCTATAAACAAAAATCTGAATTTTGAAAAAAATAAACCCCAAAAACTACCAGCTCAAAATGCGGTGCATTGCTTATATCTAGGGCATCAGTAAAGAGTCAGAAAATAGGAGACAATCCCCTCAGGACGGAGCAAGGAGACAGAGCAGAGAGTGAATCATCAAATTAACTCACCTCATTTATTGGTTCCAACTGTCCTTTTAGACATCCAGGATGAAGCAAAGGGGAACAAAATGAAAAAGACAAAAACAGGTTAGCAATGCTCAAATAACTTTAAATTTTCTGCCAGGACATGCCCTGGCCTGGGATGAGCTTGGATTTCTGGGAAGACAGCACCTTGTAGATGTCAGAGGAAGGAGCAGTCTCCTGACCAGGCTTCAGCTGTTCCCAGTCCTTCCCCACCAAGCTCCCTCTGCTCCTCCCTCCCCAAGAGCAAAACTCCCAAATTCATCCTGGAGCACGCAAATCCTGCTCGTGCCCCTTGCTAATGGGGTATCACATGCAACCACTGATTTTCCTTTCTTTAATAACCTGTCTCTAATTGCAGCAACTACTTGCTGCTGACAGCAAACCATATGCACATTTTCCAGTTAGATGCCACAGTGGAAAAAAAGGCTTTCCTCCAGATTCAGTCCACATAAACATAGTTTCAATGCCAACTCGTAAAAAGCAGCATTTCTAGGAAGGGCCGCAGACTCGGAATACTCCCCACTATGTACACATCACTTGAGGCAGCTGGGCATCTTCAGCCTCATCCTCAGATGCGACTTGAAGAACACAAAAAATAGAAGTTAAGTGCTTAAAGCTTGAGTCACGCACTCCAGTTCAAAAATCTGCGCTGCAGCTGCTTCCTCCAAGCCATGGAAAAAATCTACAGCAAAGGAAGAAATAATCGCAAGCCAGTGTTTTACTCACAAGTCCACCCTTGGAATATTGTACATGACCCACTTCATTGATAACTAGAGATTAGCAGCATTTCAGACACCTGCTGAAAAGTCTTTCTTGTCACTTTCTGTCTAACGTTTGAGAGTTTCCTCCTTGTCCTGGCTCTCTTTCTATAGAGGGAATCCCTGAAACAAAACAAAACAAAACAAAAAAACCCCAAACCACACAAAACAAAACTCTGACTCTTCTCTACTCCTCCACATGCAGGAACTGGTTTCTAGCTTTATGCTCCTGACAGGGACAAGAGCAGCCTTTTATAGAGAAGCTGGGACACAGAGGTGCCTGTAGTTCCCAGAGCTCTCCCAGGGACCACGTTTCAGCGCAAGCCTCCCTTTCAAACTTCTCGGAAACCAGTGCTCGGTGAAAAGGCCACCACTTGCTAGAAACACAAAATAAGAGACTGGAAATGCTGCAGTGCAATGTGACAAGGCAGTGATCACCAGATACCCATGGACCAACTGTTTAAGGAAACCCAGGATGGTTTAAAGGGCTTTATCATTCTTTATTAATGCCAAGTTGCAGCCAAAGCACGGCAGCCAAAGCTACAGTGGTTTAGCAAAGCTGCAGTGAGAATATTTAAATTGCTCTAAAATGAATCAGCTGGATCCTTGCCATGCGATCGAACGCCATAGCACGTGCTGTGCAAAGGAAGTGGCATTTCCAAATGGCCCGTGGGGACGCACGGTAGGCTTGTGTCAAACAGCCCTCCTGGTCACGATCGGCCATCGGTGACATGAAACCGCTCCTGTGTGCCACCAGCCACAGGAGCACACGCAGCGGTCCCACAGGCACCATAACAAAGTACCTCTGTGACCACCCACCAATCTGCCCCAGGAAACGGGAGGACAGAAATGAGACTTAAATATTATGGTGCAGAAGAGGTAAACAAGCCACCAGGGCCATACAGGGCTCGAACGCAAGGACCCATGAAAGGAGAGCAAACACCACCAGCTGTGAGCATCCAACGCACTCCGCCAGGCTCGAGGGTCAGGGCGGGGAAGAGCAGAGGTCCAGGGAAGGACAGAGCAGGCTCCGAGGGATCCAGGGAGCAAAGCTGCTGTGACATGCTCAGCACCCCCAGGAGGAGGGCTCAGCCCCCAGGGCAGGGGAGGCACTCTCGTGCCCTGTTGCACGGTCCCACGCCAGCCAAGC